TTATACTTTGCAATACCTGAGGCAGCACAAAAGCTGTCGGATGCCTCTTTGCAAAATTCAAGGCTATTGTCGGTTCTTAACCTCTTGACCTTTCTGCCAGTCTGATTTTCGACTAGAGTCTTCCAACCTTTGAAATTCTCAAAAGTTTCATCCTTAATTTTCTAGACGAATACTCATAACTTTCTAGAATAATCATCGACTATGGATAGAAAATACCTTGATCCTGAATGTGATAGACACTTTGTAGGCCCTAAAAGATTAATATGAATGTAATCAAGGGATCTGTGTGTTCTTTATTTTCCTTTGTTGAACTTCACTCTACAAGTTTTTTCAAGTACACAGGGTTCACAAAATTTCAGCTTTTCGACTTTGTCTCCACCAAGCAATTTTTTTTCCTCAATTTGACCAGATCCATTTCACTGACATGACCCAATCTTATGTGCCATGTTTCTGTCTTCGATAAAGGTTTCGTGGAGGCAACATTTGTCGAACCACTTACAACTTCAGCCTCAAGGGTATACAAGCCTTGTTTCTTCACACCTCTCAAGACTTTCTTCGACCCCTTCGTGACTCTTAGGATACTTTTTCTCCTTAAATAATATATCCCTTGTCGAATTCACCAAGAGAAATCAAGTTTCTCTTTAAATCAGGTACATACTTGACTTCAGTCAATAACCTTATTGACTCATCACGGAGCTTGAATCTCACAGACCCAATACCTGCAATTTTGCATGCTTTGTTGTTTCCCAGCAATACTGATCCACCATCTTGATCACACAATTCCTCAAACACGTCTTTGTTTGGAGTCATCTGCCAAGTGCAACCTGAATCCATAATCCACTCCTTTCTTGAGTCGCTACTCGAAACCACAAGGACATCAAATGAGTCGAAGTCATCTTGAACAATGGTTGTGATTCCATTATCCTTACCTCCATGATCTTTCGCATTCAAAGAACACCTTTCTTGTGTGACCCTCCTTCTTACAGTGATAACATCGAATACCAGATACCTTGCCACTAAGACTTCTATTGACTTTTACCTTTCTTCTTGTCGAACTTACCATCCTTTCGCAAGAGTTTTCCCCTAACGGCCAAACCTTCACAAACCGTCGAAGGTTTATGCTCCTTTCATTCGTTCAGATCCTTAGAATACAAGGTTGATTGAACTTCTTCAAAGCTCAGGGACTCCCTTCCACACATGAGAGTTTCTTTGAAGTGAGCATGTGTTATGGGTAAAACGCACAACAACAACAATGCTTGATCTTCATCATCGATATTCACATCAATATTTTCAAGGTCAAGAATCAGCTTGTTGAACATATCCAACTGCTCAGCCAACACTTTATCTTCACTCATCTTGAATGAGTACAAAACTTGCTTCAGGTAGAGTCGACTCTCCAGAGATTTGGTCATGTACAAACTTTCAAGTTTCAACCATAACCCTGATGTCGTAGTCTTCTTTGATACCTGTCGGAGAACCTTATCACCAAGGCTCAACAATATTGCGTTGTGGGCTTTCTCTATCATAGTCGTCTTTTCTTTTTATGTTAACGCATTGTCCATGACTGCCTCTCCGTTCAACGCTTCCAAACAACCCTGTTGTACCAGTAGGTCTTTCATCTTCAAGCGCCATAGACCGAAATCGTTCACTCTGGTGAACTTTTCAATCTCATACTTTGTTGAAGGCATCTTCCTCCACGCTCACCGCACCAATTTGTTGTGAATTAGAATGCCTTAAAACAAAGTATAAACAATTTCTTTATGATTAAAAAACACATAAGGGTTAGGGTTAAAGGAAAAATAGGAAGAACAACAAGGATTGGTTATAACTGATATTCTTTACTTTCTCTTTGAATCAGATTACTAGTACTTAAGAATAACAAATAACACTCTCACCCTAATTAAGATTTGTCACACTTAAGATGAGAGACTAGTATGTTATTTATAATAAATCTAATATACTAAACTAATGGGTTTTTTAGCAATTACCCATTACAAAATAACTTAGGGTACAAGCTAACTTAAACAATTTAATCTTTAACACAAGGCCTAATTCAACAACTAAATACTAGAATACATTTCGACAGCAGCATGTAGGTCTTCGACAACAACATGAGAGCAGACTCCGATGACATGCTAAATTAGAATTTGATCCAATATCTCACACATAAACACATTATTTTAAGCCTAAATATTTCTTACTTTTAAACATCTTTAATTTAAATGTCAAAGTATTTGTAGAAACATTTGTCATCGTTAAATTAGAATGACATGACTTTTAAATTTTCAAAGAAATATAATAACGGATCTCGTCTCACACCTCCCTTTGAAATTAAAATGTTAGCATTTTTTTAAGATTTCATAGAAAAATTAACTATTTCAATTTTCAATATATTAAATATATATTTTTTCAAAAACATTTGTTATTTTGAGGTCTTAAAGAGTAGAATTTTTTTTTAAAGTAGCAATGTTATAATTTTTATTTACCAAACAAATTATAGTTTCAAAAATATTACCAATGTAGCAAACTTTAAAAATGGTTCAACAGACATTCGCCAATTCGTTTGGCGAATTAGGCCAAGCAAGCAAACCATCATTTTCAAGGGATTCACCATTTGGTTTGGCGAAAGCGTGTAGTTGGGGACTGGTTCGCCCATGCAATTGGTGAATCAGGGTTCTTTCATTTTCCTTACTTTTATATTTTGCTTTTAATTATCATATAATATATTTTCGTTTTCATATTTAAAGTTTTAAAATTTAATTGTTTTTTGATTTTAATTATTATTATTATTAACCATAAAATATATTAATTTATAATATAATTAATATTAATATAATTAAAATATATTCGTAAGCATAAAGTGATAATAAAATGAAATTATATTAATTTATAATGTAATTAAAAATACACGAACAAAAATATAAATATAATGAAAATTACAAAAAAAAAACCTAATGATCGGCTCTATCCAAGTGACCACCGGTGCCACATTGGGGGGGACGCGTGTTGCGACGAGGTTGTTGTGGTGTGTCAGGATGTTGTGTGTTGAGTTGTGGTGGAGGGTTCTGTTGGGACGGCCCCGGCGTATCAGCTAGATCTTGCATCATTTGACCCCAATAGCCGGGAGGTCCCATGTCACATGCACTTTCGTAGTCAAGGCCAATGCCCATGTTTTGGTACGATTGTCGGGGAGGGTGGGTGGAGTATGGACGGTATGGTTGTCCGAAAGTGTACATGGAGTTGGGTTGGTCTAGGTGTGTTGATTGTTGTGGGGTGTGGTAGTCAAATAGTGGGTGGTTGGAGGTGTAGTTGGAGGGGTAGGGTCGAATGAGTTGTCCGGGATATAGGTGGCAGGGGTAGGATCAAAAGACATGTCAGGGCTGTACTGGTAAGATGGTTTCTGTTTTCAAGGGAATTCGAAACCTCCCAATAACTGCTTTGGTAAAGGCAACCTATTTTAGGATGGGATCACTTTTTGATAGCAGACGTGCGAAGTGGGGTTCGGTATTACAATCGGGTCAGCTGTACAGCGATACTGCAATGAAATTCATGAAAGACGAAACTGGCAAAGCCAACACCCACGTGGTCACATTCTATCGGTCTTCTCCACCAACCTCTCAATTTTCCTAATCTTTTCTCCTGGAGCAATATCCCCTTCTAGCCAGCGGTTCAGTTCCCTGTGCAAGTACTCCAACGTCTGCGTATTCCACAGGAGCACCTTCATCGGAGGCTTTGTTGCTGAAAACACCCGATGCTGATGGCGAAGAAGAAGAACGTTGATTTAGAAATGCAGACATTATGGACTCCACTCAACTCAAACCGCACTACCACTTTAGTCTTTTAGGAAATAATGTTGTGAAAACAAACATGTGTTTGAGCTCGTATTTATAGCAAAAAAAAATGATAATTAAAAAGTGATAAGTTAGTGCGCAAATAAATCACAACAAGTGAAAATAAAACATAATATACAAAAGGATTGATCCTCCTCAGGGATCGAACCCAGGCTAGCAAGGTGAGATGCGCATTTGATGACAAAGTGATTACCACTGGGGTGACTATACATCCATTAATGAATGTCACCCCAAAAATATATAAGGGAAGTTTAAAACCCAAGCTGGGCAATTTAGCAAGCAAACCAATTTATTTTAAATTTATAATTTCATAAATTAATTTAAACTTTTAAACTTAATTTTTTTAAGTTTATTAATAATATAAAAATAATTAAAATCAAAATCAAAATCAAAATATAAATACATTAAAAAAATTTCAAACTTAAATTAAAATTATAAAATGTATCAAATTATAAAATGTATCAAATTGAAAAACGAAACAAACCCTAAAAAACAAAGCTGATTCGCCAATTGAATGGGCGAATGCCCACAAAGAAAATTCTGCAAAGCCCATTCGCCACTCCATTTGGCGAATTGGTTCAAAGCTAATTTTGCATGTTTCGCCAATTTATCAGGCGAATGCATGTTGAACCAAATCCAAATCTTGCCATTTTAGTAATATTTTTGAAACAATAATTTATTTGGTAAATAAAAATTATAACATTGCTACTTTAAAAAAAATTTTAAAGAGTACCTTAAGTGACATTGCCAACGTAAGATGTCTATTTTTCATAATGCAATCAGCTTTATCTCAATACCTTTGTAGCATACTTCAACGGTCAACACTACTACATATTCCGGGTCAAATATGATTTCTATATATCAAAATTGACCAATTGTATCTAATCTATTCCTTTCACATTTTCTAGTGCTTATACCCAAATCAACCATGTGTGCTGTATCCACAAAAATAAACATCACACATCATAGAAGATCACAAGTCCAACATGAGCAATGACTCTATCTTTTGTAATCTTTCCACGTTTTATTTCTTGCCAAACAAGAAATGCACAACTATAAATAACCAAACTAAATCATCTAAACAACATCTTAGTTTCATATTACAAATAATATCTAACAAGCAAGCTACACATTGTGTAAAGTAGAAACATGGAAAAGGACAATGTTGTTTTGTTGGATTTTTGGCCAAGCTCATATGGAATGAGAGTGAAAATCGCTTTGGAGGAGAAGAGAGTCTTATATGAGTGTAGACAAGAAGATTTTCAAGATAAAAGCTCTCTTCTTTTAGAGATGAACCCGGCTTACAAAATGATTCCGGTTTTGATTCATAATGGAAAACCCCTATGTGAATCACTCAACATTGTTGAGTACATTGATGACGCTTGGAATCACAAACCTTCTCTTTTGTCCTCTGATCCTTACAAGCGGTCTCAAGCCAAATTTTGGGGAGATTACATTGACAAACATGTAAGTAATTATATATTTATGTATGTCGTTAATTATATATTTATATCTGATTGTTGATACGTAGGTTTAAATTTATGACATTCTATTTATTTATATTTAAGCGGTGAAATTCTAATTATTAAGTCATTAATAAAAAAAAGTTCAACTTGTGGATTCTATTTGATGTAGATATACAACATTGGAAAGAAGGTATGGACAGGAAAGGGGAAAGAACAAGAAGAGGGTAAAAAGAAGTTTATAGAATGTTTGAAGACTTTAGAAGGTGAGCTTGGAGAGAAGCCATATTTTGGTGGAGATGACTTTGGATATGTTGATGTGGCTCTTGTTCCCTTCACAAGTTGGTTTTATACATATGAGACTTATGGAAAACTAAGCATAGAGGAAGAGTGTCCTAAGCTTGTGGCTTGGGCCAAAAGGTGTATGGAAAAAGAGAGTGTGGCAAAGTCACTCCCTAACCCTCACAAAATACATGGTTTTGCAATGCAATATAAACAAAATCATGGACTTGATTAGATTTTGTTGCAGATTGAATGGGACTTTGCATGCACAAAGATTGAAGTATTATATTATAGAATATGAATTTTATTTGCATATATTGCTAATATAAAATAAGTTTATGTTGTCATGTAAAAAGTCTATAAAGTATTGTCGCCTATTTTGATTAAATTAAAATATGAAAAAAAAAATGTATTACTGATTTGAGTTGTAAACTATTTGTTTTATAATGAATGAATCAAAACTAAATTCAGTGTATGTTTGGATTTATTTTTGAGAGGCCTGAAAGTGGTCTCAAACACTTCCTTTTTTCTACTTTTTAAAACTTAGTCTTTCAATTCATGAATCAGTCAAACCTGAGTGTTTGAAAATGTTTTCAATCCTTAGTTCTTAACCAAAGATCATTCAAACTCTTATAATTTAGCGTAGTGATTTTAACCAAATATTATAATTTAAAACTATGTGTTTTTCTCTTCTCTCTCTTTTCTTTTTAGAAAACTCTTCTCTTTTAAAACAATGTAAAATAACTTAAGAGAGCATCTTCAATAGGAGGAAAGATTTTGGATATATTTTGTGAGTTCAAATTGTAACATTTTATTTAATTAATCTCTAAGCAATTTCAACGGTAATTATAAATAAGTGACTCTACCAATTTATATTATTTTATTTGTATTATATTTTAATAATTATTTTTTAATTGAATTGGTTGAAAAACAATAATATTTAATGTTAAGTTTTTCACTTTTCAAAATATTTTACGAAGCTTCATCTCTTAAATTTAAGCAACCAACATTGCCACATCATCACACTTCAATGATAATAAAGAAAAGCAACAGAACTTAAAAATGAAAGCATCACTGATTCTTATCATTAGAGATGCTTTAAATATATCTAATGTTTTAAAAACTTGACGAGAGATTGAGTGATTGAACAGGAGAAGTATTCTGATTAAAGTTTAATTGATTCAATTGATTCAATTTACAATCGAATCATTTATAAAATAAAATAATAATATAAAAATAAATTTCATAAATATGTCGCACACAATCATATATACACAATTTAATAAAATAAATATTTCAAAAATCCATTACAAACTCAATACAATAATATTAACAAAGTATATATATATATATATATATATATATATATATATATATATATATATATATATATATATATATATATATATATATATATATATATATATATATATATATATATATATATATATATATATATATATATATATAATTTCATTTCAACATTCATTTAAGAATAACTTAAATAAATTAAAATAATCTAAATTAATATTAAAATAATAGAACATAATAACTAAAATAAAATTCAAATAGTTAAGAATACCTAAATTAAATAAGATAGAATTACAAAAATAAACAATACAACATAATTAATTAAATAACAACAAGCAAATTCGAGTTGAACAATGACAAATAAGAAATTCTTTTTTGTAATTGAGGAATATATTAAGTTTTGATATTAACATATTAAAAATTTTCAACAAAAAAAAAGACTGATTTGATGCATTTTTTTGAATCAGGTGATTTTACGAAACCGACTACAGTTTTTTGCTTCAAATGGTTTAGAACGGTTTAATCTGGTTTTTTTCGATTTTATTTCGATTTTGATCCACTAGTAGTTTAAAAAAATTAATCGAATCAGATTTAAATATGGTTCTCGATCCAACCGATTGAATCAGACAGTTCGATCCAATTTTTTAAACATTGAATATATCACAAGTCCAAAATACACGCCTCACACTAATACCATCCGCCTTACAACTCTCTAATAGAAATATCACTCGTTCAACACATCCTAAATATTGATGAGGCAGAATCAAAATATTATAAAGATGATTCTTCACCCACCTTATATCCCACGTTGGACATCCTGCAAGTGTGGTAGAATAAAAAGTTTAATCCTTAAAATTCTAAAATTACTAATACAAAATTCCACTTGTATAAGGAGTAATCTCTATCTTATTCTTCTCATCTTAGGTTTGAAGATATTGTATGATAAAAAGCTTTATGTAATGACCTAAATGATTGTTGACAATTTTAGTGTCAAACATGAATTGTTCCACCACTTTCTTCACAAAACTATATTGAGTTAAGAAAAAGCCACTCCTTTTACACTTTATCGTGATAGGCATCTCTACAATCCTTCTAGTCTTACCAAGATCTTTCACTTTAAATTTTCCATTCAATATCTCTTTGAGCTTATTAAACTCTTTTGTGCTAGAGCTTGTCATTAATATATCATCAACATATAGATGTACGTAGATAATAACTTTCTTATTCCTCTATAATATCTATAAAAACAATCATATTCATTCACCACAAAACCAATACTTAAAAAGATATTCATCAAATCAATGGTACCACTTTCTTGGGCTTTTCTTCAACCCATAGAAAGATTTGTTTAAAAGGAACACCTTATACTTGTATTGAAGTCTATTCATGTGGATGAACATTTATTGATCAAATAACACATTGTACTAATAGATTTCTCCTAGAAACATTTGGGTGACTTAGCTCCAGAAAATATGTCTTATACCCACTCCAAAACAATCATATTAATACGTTGTCATTAATTTGTTGCAATGTGTCAGCTACAATTATATGCCTCTTTATCCATTGTTTCCTGCAAAACTCATTAAATTACTCTGAAATAAACTCTATGTTGTTTCTATTTCTTAAAACTTTCAATTTAATTATCATCAAATTTTCTATAAGAGTATGACATTCCTTAAACTTTTCAAATGTTTCACTTTTATGTTTCAAAGTGTGAACTCATACTTTTGTAGAGAAAATATCAAACATAGTGAGAAAATAGAAACCACGTCTCATGAGTTTCCAACTTTATCAAATCTTAAAGATCTGAGTGAACATACTCAAATAGTTTACCAAAATTAAGCATACCACTCCAAAACATCACTCCATATTGTATTCCTAGTATGCATTGATCACAAGATTATAATTTATTCAATTTTTTATTACCTAGACAACCTTGCTTATCTAGTTCAACCAAACTCATTTCACTTACACGCTCTAATCTCAAACATCATAGTTTAGATTTATCATAAAAGTATTTATTTGATAATGATGCATTATTAATAACAATATAATAATTTAAACCATTCAAACTATACATTTTGGATCCTTTTAGAAATTATCATTCTACCATGCAAAATTTTCTATATGTCGTGTTCAATTCTAGTAAAATAGCCTCCAAACATTCTTATAGACAATAAATTTTGCTTAAGTTTGCGAACATATGTCACATTGCATAGTTAAAACTCATAGTCGTCAAACATCTTGAGTTGAATCGCCCCATTACCTTAAATCTTGCAAGCCTTGTTATTACCGAGTTCATGACCTAACTTTTATCTGTCTTTTAACTCATTATCACTATCAACACTGTCATAACCATCCTCATCTGAGGTAGCCACAATGTCGACAAAATCACCTTTGCTCATCGTCTTAGGAAAATCCTTCTAGAATTGACCAATTTTATGATAAATGGAACATTTGTATTTTGAGTTATCAAACTTTCTAGACTTGGACTTAGACATAGATTACTCCCACTTCAATTTTCCTCTAGTTTTGCCCCTCCTTGTGAAAAATTCAAGCATTGTCCATTATCTTCAACCTTCAAATCTTAAGCTTTGTAAACTCCTTGATTTTAATCATTAATCAAGTCTCATTTAAAGTAATGGTGTCTTCCTTAACATAAAGAAGAAAATGTTTGAAATGCTCAAAAGATCTTTGTAATAAACTTAACAATATTAAAACCTTGTCTTCATCATCAAGTTTTACCTCAATATTTTACATGCTATAAATAATTTTGTAAAATTCCATCAATTTCTCCAAAATGAATTTGTTTTTCACCATCCAAAATAAATAGAGTTATTGTTTCAAACATAACCTAAAAGCCAAGGAATTGACCATATACAAAGATTTAAGCTTGGCCCACATTTTTAGTGTGATCTTCTCTCTTGCGACTTCCTTTAATAATTTATCTCTAAGGAACAATACAATGTCACTATTGGCCTTATTCACTATCATGGCCTTCTCCGCTCGTGTCAGGAATAGATAGCTCAAAAACTAAGTTATGCCACTTAACTTATCAATTATTCTGATAATAAGGGGATTAACACTTTATTCAAGAAAAAAGATATCAAACACCTTAGTTGGGTTAAATTAACTTATAACTCTCTAAAGTAGTAACACTTAACTTTGTTACCTTTCATTTTGTTTTTGTTGTCATAAAAAATGACAAGAGAACACTTTATCTAGACCTTTATGTGAAGACAAAGGATTCAGATACTCCCCCAAGAGAGATTTACATTCAACCAAGTTAACTAATCAAAATACCCCATCCAAGTTGTTGGGCAAGTTACTTCAAGCACAAGAGCGCTCACTTGTGAGGGTGAATTGTGGTATTTAAAATTTGTGATTAATTTCAAACCTTTTTTCGATTAAGATTGTATTAGTAATTTTATGTGAGTAGTTTGCAGTGGAGATAAAGTACTGAAAGTAAATTGTAAAGTATAAAAGGATAGGGTTAGAAAGATTGCACACAAATTTATACAAGTTTGGCCAAACGTCGGCCTAGTATTGTCTCCAAGAGGTCTTCTTGAGAGTTATGACTAAACTTGTGAGCTCTTGAAGGTTATGCCCACTAACCTTAATACAATCTGATCTTGAAGGCTTATCCCCAACCAACGAAACATTTTATCCCAGGCTAAGCTAAAGAACCATTTAGAGATTTATAGCTTATCCCAATAACTAAAACAAAGATTTTTTCTGACGAAACTTAAGAAACCAAATATAGAGATTTTATGACAGGTTTATCTCAAGAAACAAACTTGATCTCTTAAGATATCTCACCCTAAAGAATATAAAGGATCGGCACAACCACTTACAAAAATTTCTTCCTCACAAGAAAAGCTTTACTTACTAATGCTAAGGCAATTGGATGTCAAAGAAAATATT